TGTGACAGCATTGCAGTGTTGGTACTTGATGCAGTTATCAGTTACAAATAAATTATCCAGAGAAGAGAGGCCTTTCCTCCACTCGTGTTCATAAATTGCTGACAGACAAAGCCTGATTTCTCCAAGTGACACTTTTCTCCATTCTCCAAGTAGTTTTTCAGAATGCTTAGCAGCTGGTGAATTTTTCATCTACTCATTACTGGGGCAATGCTGTCAAATTCATCTGACTTAGAAAAATAAGTAAGTAAAACACAACTGTCTGCTGCCCAAATACCTGCCCTCCTAAGGTGTTCCTATATTCTTCTCACTGTGGCATCTGGTTTCTTTCATGCATTTTCTATCAAAACTTGTATGTGAAGCAAAAAATTGTAAACAAAATTCCTACCTATGCCAAATGCTATTTTCAAACGTTTTCTGATCTTTCTGTGGGAAACAAGCAGGCCACTTACTAAATAACTTCTGAGCTATGTTTTTTCCTGAGCATGCATTACAGAATTAGGGAGTGGGAAGCAAAGAGCTGTTGCCCCAGTGAATCTACTGGAATCAAACCAACTCCTACCTCCCAGCTTTGCCCAGCTAGAAGCTGCCTCACCAGCAGTGTCTGGTGGAGAGCAGCCATTTCTCTTCCACCTGTAATCTCTCCTCTTTACCAGCCTTTTGAAGAAGAGGTGACTGTACAGCACCTAGCACAATCAGATCCCTCTGTTGGCTTGAATTTCTCTACACTATAGGAATACTAATCCCTCCCCAACAATAGAGACAGGCACTGCACAGAGCACGCACACAAACAGACTTTCATTAGTGAATGCAGTCCTGAAAGCCTGTTTTACAAAAGACTTTGCTGATTGGACTCAGTCATTTGAACAGCGATGGATACACGGTATATTACACAAGAGCCTAGAAAGAAAGGTGCAGCAGTATCAGCAATGAGATGCAGACACTGCATAATTCTGTAATATTAAAAGGCTTAAGCACACAACTAGCCATAACCTGAATGTCTAACATCTACTGTGTATTTTTTTTTTTAAATGATTCCCAGAAATGCTGAAAATTGTGTATTTTGAAACAGCAGCCTCCTATTTGGGTCGATAGCCTCCCTCTTCTCTCCAGCTCAGCGGTTTGCCAACATTTCTGCTGTTAATTACTGAAATTTCAGGTGCATTCTGAGCCTTTCAATTCCCAGACTTTCACATAAATATGTCAGACAATGAGGGTGTCAGGAGAGCCCTGGGGTACAAAGCCAAATTTTTCAATTCATATGCACAGTGGTGGGAAACAAACGTACAAGGGGAGACATTTAATTTACATAAATGCTTTTAGGATATGTTTTGAGATTTTTTTGCTAAAAAGGAGAGCTTATTATAATCTATAGGTTTCCTTGTGCATAAATGCTGACAGGTTTACCAGTGAAGACCAGATTTTCATAATCAATAGCCTCTGTTTTTGTTTATCACTTGCTGTCACAGGCAAGCACTTCTGTTGATTAAGGGCATTGAAATCACATATATTGCCAAGGTGTGAATAACACTATTAAAAACCTAAAGAGTTCATTCCAGGGTTTTCACAGGCCTTGTGTGAAAGGCAAGCAGTATTGCTCCAGGAACACACAAAAGAACCAGTTTGCAGTCCCAAAATATATCTCATTATGAGTTAAAGATGTGGCAAGGCTGTTCTCAGAACCACAGTCCCTGTTTACAGCCAGAAGTCCCTCTGAAGCCACCTTTGCAAGGTTTCAGCCTCTCTGAGGGGACAGCCCACACTTAAGTGACTTGTTTTGCCAGAAGCTCTATCACTGGGGCAGGTGGAGAAGCTTGGGCTGATGCAGCCAAGACCTCCTGCTTGTAAAACAGAGGCAGCAGCAGACTGTGCTCCCCTGAGCAGGGTAGTGCCTGAGTTACTGCTGGAGGACAGGTGGCAATGCAGAGGGAGTGCATACAGCCCAAGAAGGCTGGCTTTGCTTCACCCTCTTCCTCCCCCTCTTCCTCCCTCTGCAGCTGGGGTATGGCCTGAGGACCAGCCTTGCTTCTTGGTTTCCTCTTGGGCCAGTTCTTCTGTGCTGCACACATCCCACTGCTGCTTCCCTATCCCCCCAGGAAGAGGGGGGGGATATCTGTTGATGGATGAGGAGGAAGAGTAGCTTCCGCAAACTGCTCTCCTTAACCACTAACTTTTTTGCCAGCTGGCATTTGGAATATAAGAGACCCCAGATAAACATTGCCAGGCTGCTGGGTGCAGAAGAAATCCTGTAATTGGTGAACACATTTGACCCATAAAGATGGCTTTGCATGGATCACCGCCCCCCCAGGTTGAACCTTTGACTTGGTGACGTTTATAGTCCTAATCCTCCACCTCATTTAAGCTGCCCCACTGCCTCAAAATAGGGTCACTGCAGTCTAAAAGGAAGAGGGCAAAAGCTGCTAGCTGAATTGAGATTGCCAAACCTGGGGAGTTCCTCAGGTTTCACAGCAGTCAGGCAGCTACAGCTTGTACATCTGAGCAGGAAGCAAATGCATCACAGTTACTGTCTCCCTCACCTCTGCTATGTGTACAGAGAGCCCACTCAGATTCCTGGTGGATATATGAGCTGGGAATGGGAAGTGCCCAAGGTGAGACAGTGGGACATCCCCACATAGAAGCAGAATACATTTACAGCTTTCACAGAGTTGAATATTTGAAATCTGAAACAGTACATGCTCCCCCCTGGGTTGACAGGATCATACTGCATTTATAGAATGAATAAAAATTCCTTATCAGACGTGGGTGAATACAAGGAGATAAGCAAAGTACATGAGCAATTAGGAAACTTTAACACTGTTCAGTTTACATCAGTTGGCAGCTGCTCTCTGGTCTCACCTGCAGGTATTCAGCAAAGAATTAATATGTTCAGTATAGTCAAAAGTTTTTGATGATTATTTTATGCATTTTCATACCCATCTCAAAGATTTTCACTGTGGCACTGAAGCAAATTTGTTTTCACAATTATTCTGCCTCTCTGGCAAACATCTGCTGTCCATGCTGCGCAGTGCCTATCAATACACTGAACTTTCAATTGTTTCTTGTCTTGTTTCTTGCAAAAATAGCAGGAATTTTACTAGGAAATAAGACCCTTTTCCCAAAGACCTTCCCTCAAAACCTCAACCGTTATCAATGCACCAAACTTGCATTATACAGAAATATGGTATTATTAGATTTCCCTCTAACTTTTGTTCCAAATCTATAAATTTGATCCATCTATTAAAAAACAAAACAAAATGGAACCAAAAAATCCCCAAAGACAATATATTGTGACTATTTTGCATCCAGAATTCTTCTAGCTGGATTGCAAGCACTTTATTTTCATGGACAGAATCATATGATCTTAAAATAGTTCAAACTGAGAATTCCTGTCCACATTTTGGAAAAAAAGCTAAGAGAACCTGATGCATCTGTTGTTTTTCATTATGAGCAGACAAAAGGTCCTATGGGGCACTAACTCCTCATCCAGCTCCCATCTAGGGCCTTCTGTGGGGTCTGACAACCTGGGTCTGCCAGAGAAGATGTTTGTATTGTATTCAGGTCTGTAGAGCTGGTCCTGGATGTGTCACTTGGCCAAATCTGTCACTAAGTATACAAGACTGGGTCTGGACCCTTGCTGATATTCCACAATACACAAGAAGAACCTCAGTGAGTTATGACCACCCTCCTGGACATGCTTGGAGAGCACCAATAACAGTAATTTACACAAGCTTTGCCAAACCCAAGCTCTCAGAATGCTGAATTAGCCTGCCTGTATCTTTCCTGGCTATAGCAGAAAACAAGCTGCAATAGAAAACAAGCTATAATATTCTAAACTGCAGAAGGAAGTAGAATAATAAAAGTAACATTTAATCTTTCCTGTTGGTTAGAACCTGCAAAAGGGACTAATGGGTAACTAGAAATTGCTGGTTGGGATTCCAGAGATTCTGCTTGCTGTGTCTTTTCTGCTAGATCAGCCTGCCTCATTCAAAGCCTGGGAAACATTGTCAGTGTCTACAACCATAGAGAACAAATATCCTTACAGCAGTATCTGGATCAAACCCTGAATTGCAGGCTGCTCCCAGCAGTGCTGTCTGTGCTTTCTGCCTTCATTGCTGATACTGTGGTATGATAAACAATTCTGCTATTGGCAGCTTATTTATTAAAAATAAAACAAACACGCTTTCTTGAATTAAAATAAGAAAGATCACACTAAAGCCATAAGAAAAAAAAATAAAAAATATATTGCAGCAACAAAAACTCAAGAGTTCTTCGCAGCTTATCAAAGCATAATCCACCTCCTGTACTTTACCTTTCTTTTTAAAACTGTCCCAAAATGAACACTGTCATACTGCAGCTGAGCCTCTGTGCTCACTTGACTGTTTGGGCCAAATTCTCTCTTTTAAAATTTACTCAAATATGCAGAGTTATGCAAACAGAGGACTTGCCCTCCTGTACCCTCTCTTGCTGAAAAACCAATTTGCTTGTGCTTAAGCCCATGTTTCTAAATTTCCAGGAGCAGAAACACATTGTGGCTTTAAATATAGACTGTCAGTTTGTGGCTTGAGTCTCATGTTACACACAGACAGCTTGAGACTCTAAACGCAAGTTGGGCAGCACCATTACTATCTTAAAAAAGCGTCAGTACGCTTTCAAAATACTCTATAACTTCATTCCTGAAGGCGGGGGGAGGGAAAAACATTCAAATGAAACTTTTCTAAGCTGGGGTTTAGGCGGAAACATTACTAACTTTGCTTGGTCCTATTCAGGAGCCAGAGTTTCCAGAGCCTGTTTCAGTTCTTCCCTCACACACGCGCACACACAAACACAAAGAATTAAGAAAGAAAACAGCTTCTTCACAACTTTTTTCCTTCAGGATTAGTCTCAGACATTCCTTTTTTTTTTCCTTCCCCCCATATGAAATGCATTAGACAATCTTTTCCTTAAGCGGCGGACTGATAAATCCACTCTCATTGTAAGGGGGGAGGGGGGGTGAGGGTACTCACGTGGTTGAGATGTCGCATTGTTTTGGGAACTCATAATTTACGCCTTTGAAAAATGCCTTATTTGTGTTGACAGTCTCTCTTCCCTGCTCAGAACTGACGGCGGGATTGAACAGAACAGCTGGAAGAACCCAGGAAAATGCTCCTCTTGTTCGGGCTCTCCTTGCCTGGCTCCTGACCCCTTTACAACTGGAAAAGGAAACAGCACATGTGTCATTCTCTTTTGCCTGTGTAGCTCACATGAGCGGGGAGGGGCACCCATTTGCAGATAGCAGTAACTGTATTCAAGTTTTGCAAGTTGGATGTATTCCACCCCTTTGCTTTTATTAGCCAGCAACCGGTGGAAAGAAAATGCTCTTTTCATTCTTAGCCAAATCTAGACGCACCTATTAAATCCACTTCCCAAACCCCTATCCACTGCTGTTGATGCTATTTCTGTAAAGTGCAAAACTTGCTGCTGACTCCCTTTCCTAAAATGTCAACCATTAGTGGGTAGGATTGAAAGTAAGACTCAGTTTTTGCTGTGCATCATCCCCCTTAACCCTCACAGTCTGACCCATTCACCTTTAACAGGTGAAAATTGAGGATGGCATTTACTGGGTCAAAGTAGTTATGTCAGCATATACCATGAATCTACACTGTGCTCAAAACAAGGAGGAACCTGTGGCTACAGCACAGGCTGAGGCACAAGTAACTCCAGTCATGGCTCTGACACAGGCTTCCTATGGCACCTTTGACAAAGCATTTAATCTCTGCCCCAGTTTTATTTGGTAGAATAAAGATGAGACACCTGGTTTCTCCCTAGTCTTGGTATTTTTATTTTAATTTACAGGCTAGGGTTATTTATGAATAAGATGTATTTATTGGGCTGCAGAGGTTAATTTGCATACTCCACTGCAAGTTTTTCAGCCTGGACTAGGGTGCCAGCTGCCTTGTTTATATAGCTGCCATTTAAAGCTATCTGTTTGGCTGTCTGCATGCTGTGCTGCAGTCAGCACCATGTAGGAACTGTAAGTGTGCATACACAGCCTGTATGTAGCTGTGTAGACGTCTAGGTTATGCCAGAATAGGAGTAATTTTTAATGCATATGCCTTAAACACTAACAAGAGTGGACAAAGTTTCAATTTTCCTGGTGTCTGCCATGGAGTCAGGATGCCTGTGACAACAGAAACACAGTAACCATCAGGATGGAAGTGACAAAAAACACAGTAATGAAATCCAGGCTGGGACCATCCTGTTTTGCAAAACTGTCACAGGATATTTCTGTAAAATCATCTCAGTGACCTCCTACAAGAAATCACTGCCGTGAACTTGGCTCACAGTATTTATTTAACAGCTATAGGATGGAAAGAACAGTGACTTATTTACGTGCCAACAGCAACTAACAGCTTGTTTGTGAACATGGATGCAGTAAATTACTTCAGTCAGAATTTCCACACTCTGGGCCCGTGGTAGAGAGCTCTGGAACATTTAGTGATAGAGCAAAGCAAGGCACAAAACAATGACAGGGAAATAATAGGAAAAACTCCTGACGTTGCTGCACTGGCTTCAGCTCTGTAGCGTGACATTCATTTTCACCTGATAGCTTCTCTATGAAAATACTGATGGGCGTGTTTTTGATTATTGCTTCTGTGTAAGAAACACAATGTGCACAGGAAAAATTGGGGCTTTCTGTTCCGACTCATGACAATTTTTGTCATGCAAAGTTTTTACATTTAAATTGTTCATCTTCGTGATCAAGGACAAGTTGGGTGGCCTTAGAGCAACCTGGTCTAGTGTAGGATGTCAGGAGGGTTGCAACTAGATGATCTAACCCAAACCATTGAATGATTCTATGATTCTGCGATCCCTAAGAAATTTCAGAACTTCCACTGAGAAAAGATTTCCTAGCTGCTGCAGATGATGTGAAGGATGATGGTAGTGATGGTTTTATCATGTTAGAGCCAGTGGTCTGGACTGTCTTACGAATTTTGTGGCAAACTAGTCAGAATGGCATGCATGATTAGGTCCTGGTGCTTAACCCCTCTGCATCTGTACAACACTACCTACATCTGTCTGTGTTCTTATTAAAGCTGCTCTCCCCTCCACCAAAATCACTGGAGGAGTTGCATCTAAGTTTATGGAGTATTCTGGCAGATCCAAACTCACATGGGAAATTCCCCCTTAATGTGTTATCTTCACTTTTTTTGGGACTTCTTTCTTTGCTTATTGAGTAGACTGGGGTTCCTAGAAATCAGAGAGCCATTTCCCAAGTCTGTTTGCTCTCATACAGGCCATGAAAGAGACCTGCCTGGCCTTTTCCACTCATTATTATTTGGAAATATGTGATGTTGACAAGGGAAGCACCGTGTAGCCCAGTATGCTTCTGGGGCAGCCTGGGACTGGGCACTGAACAAAAAAAGGCATCTCAGTGCTCTCAGCCAACTGGTCACGACAGACAGGAGGCACCAAAGGAACCCAGAGCAAAAGATGGGAGTGGAGTGCTGGTGGGAAAAATGTGTGATTAATCATTAATTTTCAATTTGACTGAACTCTTTCCTAATCTTCAAACAGCAATTGTTTCTGGCAAAAAACAAAAGCTCCCCAAAAGGATTGAAAGAAGAAGATAACAGAAGAGTATCAAAAAGTAATTTTTATCGAAGGATTGTGGCATTCATACAGAATTCAGCAGGTCTGTGGCTTAACACAGGTATGTTAGGAAATGTGTGTGTCACCTCTGTGGTTTTCATCAGCCAATTACTTGATCTTGAGGCCACGGTGTTCCCATTAACCTGCAGAAGAAGTATTGCTTTCCTGCCCTGGTGAATACTTTTGCATCTTCAGCCTTTGAAAGAGTCTTTTTCTGAGTAAGGAAATGAAAATTCCCTTTTTTTTCTCAGTAGTGCTTTCAGATGTGACAGCGCTTTCAGGTCCAAGAGTGTTAACTCAGAAGTGGGACCTCTTCTGCCTCCAATACTGCAATTTATCCTACTCCTCCTAAGCGCAGCTATCTAATGAATGCACGGTCAGGCCCACATAGTTGTTCTCTTTGATGCTATCTTGTTCCAAGATAAATGATATTTCACAGCCATTCAGGCTTGGCAAGCTGATGCCGCATGCAGCAGCTGTTGTTCCCAACAGGAAGGGAGGGTTTAGGCTGCACTCGGGGGAAAAGAAATAAATAAAACAAAGGAAAGAGGCTCTCTTCAGGAAGTTATGCTTTGCAACAACAGGACATCACACTAGAAATCCCTCTCTCTGATGGATTTTCTTGGCAAAACATAATGCAAAATCTGTAATCTCATCCTGTAAAGGCAATGGCAAGATTGAAAGAGGCTGAGTGGAGAGCTATCAATAATGTCCTTCCCTGCCCACCCAGCACAGCCTGCAAGCTTCAGAGGAGGATCCATCTGAGGAGGATCCATCATTTGAAGAGAGGATGTAGCAGCAGTTGTGCCTGGCTGTGAGCTCAAGACGGGCCTTGTGACAGTGCTGGTGGGCACACTCAGATGAGCCAGTGGCTCAGTGTCCCACTGGGCTGTGTGCCATGGTCACCTGGCCAGCTGGCGGGAGAGGTGGTGATGGCTTTCTCCTCTCCTTTGCTGGCTGCACACTTCAGGCTGTCTTAAACATGCTAAGCTGCTGAGCTGTGTGAGGTGGGGTGGAATCCCAAATTTGGAAGACTTTGTGCAGGTCAAGCACAAGCAGAGATTTAACTGCTAGGCTGAATCCTGAAGAAGGGTTTCTTCACAAGAAAGTATTTGGCTCTGGACATCCCATGAAATACTATTTTCTACTGATTATCTTCCTCTCCATCTCTGTAAGGAATAAGAGCTTATTTATTTGTTACCTTGTGTGATGATTTATCCCCCTTGACTTATTTCCTTTCTGTTTCCCATTTATTTTTGTGCTGAAAAGGCAAGGAATATTTGCCACAGGCTGTGTGGATCATCTCAGGTCTGGTGTAAAATCATGGAGAATGAAACCTTTGTGATGCAAAAGGGATCAATATAGGCTTATCACCCAGGATGGACTGTGATGCTGGTATAACTCATGTTTTATGTGGTGCCTGTGCAGCCTGTGACTTTAAGTGCAGCAAGATTGTGAAATCCTTGGAACACAGAGAAGGAATTTTCTGTCTGCATTCATAGCACTGAACAAGTTCTTGACCCTCATACAAGGCCAAAAGAGAAAAGTTTACCCTGGAGATAAGAGATCAACTCTCCTTCCTACTTTGCATCCCAGGCATTTGTCTTTATTTTTACCACTCCTCTGACTTCTGCTTGAACCTTTGGAATATATTCTTATCCATGGAACATGTACATCTCCTGCTTTGCCTTATTGCACAATTTGGTTACAGTTAAAAATACAGTTAAAGGATGTAGTGTGCCTGTTTGTATTTCAGGTCACCAGTTAATCTGTTAGTTTATTTGGGCCAAATTCTTTTCCTTTTGTGCCTGTACTCAGGGGATCCTCTGGTGTCACTACAATGCAAATACTGCTCAAAATGTGCCATCTCGCTGTGAAATGGAAATGTAAGGAGGCTCTACATCTGCCCTGTAGTCTGGTGCTTGGCTTTCCATGACCTGTGTTTCATTTAATGACACCATGGAGAGAAGATGTGTAAGGTCAAGAGTTTAGTGGACAGTGGTGCAGAGTCTCTGTAACGCTACAGTGTCGTCATGTCCAAAGATCAGACAGAATGTCTTAGAGCCACTGCCTCCTCTCCAATCTAATTTCCAACACCGCTGGAAAACACATCTGCTCACACTTTAGAGCAGTCAACAGGATGTTGACATACAGTTTGATGGTGCATATTTGGAACAGTGGTAATGTCATCTGGGTAGATGTGGAGTGGGTGAATCATATTATCAGAGCTTGCTGAGTTCAAGAAATCAGAGCAGGCTTTGACACATGGAATTCTCATAACAAAAGAACAAAATGATAAATAAAGTGAATCATTCTGCAATTTAAAACAAGAGGGAAGGCTTGCTCAAACAAAGCAGAATTAAACACTGGAAGTCATAATTCCTGGAGGATCTGGTGTAGTTGGACCTTCAGTTTGACTGAAAATCTTTACTCTTCCTTACATAGATGGGACTGTATGCACAATTTCAATAAACTGGCTTTTTTAGTTGCTGCATACAAGAGAGTCTCCAAAGGAGGGCAGCAAATATGGTGAAGGGTTTTGAGGGGAAGCTGTGTGAGGAGTGGCTGAGGTCACTTGGTTTGTTCAGCCTGGAGGAGGCTG